TATATATATATGTATAATTAATTAACCATACATTGCTATTTTTAATTCTAATAAGTATGGGAAAATCATATTCGATTACGTACGACATTAGGGACAAGAAATAACTAGGGCATAAGCTAATTGGCTGATGTTGACAATCAAAAGGATTCGTTTACGGAAGATTAGTCGCATTGAACGCAACATATAATTCCGTACGCAATCGAGTTGAAAGCAACAAGAACATGAATGCGTTTGCCCGGATGTTGTGAGGGGTATCACGACGCAAAGGTCGTAAATGTCACGTAGCGACATAGAAAATGGCTACGTAACAATACATACGCCATAGTGGTCGCGATATACAGTGCGTAGGCGAACCGATACAAGCAACCGATAAGTGCACGTCAAGCTGCACATGTCGTTGAAGCCGTGTAAAAAAAATATATTAACATACATTGTTAATGCGTTAAGAGAATGCGTTTATATGCACGCTTCAAAGATTGCGCAAACATTCAGGTACAAGGTCATATATACGCTGAAATACGTATTATATATTTAGTTGCGTCGATTGTTTGTTTTATCTCGCTTTCATTCGCGTAAATTGTATCACTCGACTTGTAACATAAGCGTACTGTGAATATGTAACAAGATATAGAGAAGTTAAATTTTAGAATTTACTAGCCGATCCGTCGCATATCGGTCTTATTATTGTCGCTTTGATTAAGTGTGCCTTTTAATCTGGTACACCTTTATATTAGCAAAGTGAAAAGGATCATATTAATTCTGTATACCATTTAGTTAATGTAATCGCTCTTTCTAACTTCAATAGTAATAATTAATTCGGAAGTTATATTTAGTATGAACAGTCTGTATATCGCTATAAACTGCCCCTTGAATATACACATTATCTCGGGATTTAGCTAGTTTACGTAGATTCCCGAGCGACCTATACAATGTTCTTGCAAATCTAATAGTATGCATACATAATCGCGTATTGAAAATTCTCTATTAGAATGCTATTAGTATAATTATTTGCGTCATTATCGTATCATTGTGATCTCTCTCAAAGCACATAGCGAGGTGGTATTTATTTCATAAAAGTTATTCACGTGAAGCTTCTTCAAATTAAAGCCGGATTAAAATTTTCACTATATGCGAATAAAAAGTTTTAAACTACGCCAGGCAGCCGGTGCACTGGAGTATAAATGTCAATGTGTAGGTAGATAGCGCAGGCTCGCGGCAAAAATACACGGGGCACGTACGAGCAAAGGGCTAGACAAGTAGAATGACAAGACCACCCTTAACAGGGTTTACATAGCTGCGCGAGCAGGGACAAAAATCATAGAAAGAAACTGTTTACGTGTTAATCTTGACGGATGACAGTTAATGCATAATGAGATTTTTTATAAGATAGTATAATAATATGTAAAATGTCAGCGAAATATATTTACTTGATCGGCGATTTCAAGTTGACTACAACTAAATGAGATTCGTAAAAATATTGCCGAGACTTTTTTTTTCAGGAAAGAAACAGATTAAATAAGAGTACTGTAAAACATTTAAAGATTTATCACACACACACACACACACACACACACACACATTATTTATATATTTTCGCGATCGTTCGCTACGAATTGCGTAATCGCTTTCGCTTAAATCGCTTCAGGGCTGATCGACCAGGTTGACGTGATTAGTTTGATGCATTTATTATGTATGCATCGCGTAGACGCATCTCAACGTCATTAAAAGGAGCCTACGTCAGGAAGCAAGAGCAATTACGCTGGCGTATCGTCGACATCACGTCATCGTAGTAATTATTTATAGCACGCGCGTCTTTTCTGAGACACATCGGGACAGGCGGGGAAGAGAGGGCAGGGTCAGAGACGGGGAAGGTAGGCAGGTAACCAGGGAAGCAGGGGTAGGTAAAGACAGGGGTAGGTTACTCCGGTATCAGCCACCCGGCAAGTAAGCAGGAGCAGGCGAGCACCGGCAGGCAGTGAGTAAGGAAGACAGAGAGAAACGAGACGAGCCGGCGCATCGGGAAGAGAGAGACGTCCAGTCCGCGGCGCCTGCGTGCTTGATTCTTGAGAGCGAGCTCTCATCCGAAATCCAGGATCCCAGTCGCGAGCGCGCCGCCGGTACAAGCCATTCGCCAGGACGTGGAACGTCGTGTTCGTGGTCGCCGACCTGGCCACCCGGCGGCGACGGGCGCACTCCACCCACATCGTGTGTGTCGCGCGCGACACGTTACTCCGCGACACGAGCCAACAAGTCATCAGCACCTCCACGAGGTGTTCCGAGACCGGCCGGTGTTTTGCGCTAGATCCTTTCTGGATCATCGTCTCGGCGTATATGTACGTTACGCGTCGCGTACTCTCGATCACGCTGGATCCTGCGTGCGTGAAATTTGCGTGAAGATCCGCCGCGATAATTGATTCGTCATCAGATCGATCGGGGAGTTTTCGTTTGTTTTACAAGATCGACTGATTCGATGATTGAATAAGAGAGATCAAAGAGATCGAAGAGATCGACGAAGAGAGTTCGTTACCAGGAGATTTTGAGCGTGATATCGGGATATCGTGATTATCGGAGAGATCGAGTTAGTGATTTTAGTTAATTTCTGTTTTCCGCGCGATCAAGACGATGCAGATGGAATGTGGAGGATTTTTGGATCAAAACCACGCAGCGAGGGGAAGGGAAGTTGATGGGTGATGGGTCCTCCGCGAATTTCGAATTTTGCGAAAAAAGAATCGAAAATTTAACAGTCAGAGTTTGACAGATCGAAGAGCAAGTGGTTCCGAATCGGTGGGACGAGACGGGAGTCGAGAGAAAAGACAATCGGGCAGTGGCCGGGATGTCAATGAACTCGCGTACTCGTGAGGGAAGTACATTGGGAAGATCAAGTGTAATGTAAAGATCGAAGGAACGAATGATCAGGAATTTCTTAGACTGTTTTTCGCAAGATCGAAATGGCAAACAGGCTTTTGTGGAATAATAATAGCCAGCTCCAATTATCAATGTTTGCAAATAGTTTGCTATAAAAAAAGCGAAAATATGATCGACGAGCAGATCTTTATGCAATGTAAGGCGTATTAGTCGATAAAAGTAAGATCGAGAAGATGTATTACGTGAGAAGTAATTACGAGATTTTTATGCCATATTGTGTGTGTGTGTGTGTGTGTGTGAGAGAGATAAATGAAGCATAAAGGACCGATATCGTCCTGTTATCTGAAGGAGAATTATAATACTTACGCGATTGAAAAAGTGGAGAAGATTTTAAAACTTTATACATATAATAATCGAGGATTACACAAAGTAACAGGTGAGATCTCGACGTTTCTATCTAAAAAATTTATTTTATTTTATTTATTAAATACTTAAAAAGTGAAAAAAATTGGAGATGAAATTTAGAAAATTCAGTCTATTCATAAATTATCAATATCTGTAGAATAATAATTATAATTATACGTAATTTGAATCTATTTCTTTTTTCTTAACTTTATATTATATAGTCAACAGGAAAAAATTTATTAGGAGACGATTTCTCTCTCTCATTTCGTTTATGTATATATTTTTTTGGTCACATTTTTTTATTTTCACATAGATCAGGTTATAAAAAAATATGTAGTTATAAAAAAATTAATTGAAATTGCGTTTTATTGAAGCATGAATCTTCTTTTTAAAAAATCGTGTATATTTCTTATTTCTTTCTTTAATAAATTTGTCCTGATAAAAGTTTCTGCATTTTAAAATTTAGTAACGGTAATATTCATTTCAGTTCAAAGCAGTTTGGATGCATTAGAACGAAAGCGTTTCGTATCATTATTCGTCCTAGTCATCACATCCACTCGGACGGTAACTACGTTAATAAGAACATCACATTGGCCACCGCAACGTAAATTAATTCGTAGCAACGTACACATACTGGTGAGTTCATCTTTTCTCGCTTTTACTCTATTCTCACAACAATTACTTCCACGATAATTATTTAGCTCTCACTCGGGTGACGAATACTTCTTAATTTTATTAACGGAACATTGCTTGCTGCTTATGATCATCGCAGTTTATTATTAAGTTTGAGATATAATCCAATTTTTGATTCGATGAAAAAGGGATAAAAAGACGTGCTAAACGTGTATGTATCGTGACAGATGATCAATATATATACTTTTAGAGATGTACACATGTAAGAGATACGATAATATGAGATTTTTCTTACATGGTCGCTTACGGTCAAAGGTTAACAGTTTCCGATACAAATATATAATCCGTTTTATTCTGGTCACACGGAGACATGCACGTTTCGTTTACGTCCGATATCTTCGCTCTATTGGCACTTGCCACCTACTAAGCAGATATCGCAAGATCCTATAAAAGCGGATACGTTCTAGTATTCTTTCTATGCTGTATAAATTACGATGGAATGTTACAGCCGCTAAAATTTTTTTAAGTAGTGTTTAAAGAAGTTTAAAAGATTTTCTTTGTTTTTATGTGCGATAAAGAATAAGATAGACTTCAGTATTTATTATTTTCCGATTTATATCTCGAAATCGATGCACAAATTTAATGCAAGGAATTAGGATGACAGAGAATTAATGAACGTGCGAACGTACAAACGTGTCCACGTATACGCCTTATGTGATGCCACGAGTGTATTTTGCGATTAAGTGGGATTAAGTACTCGAATTGCGTGGTTATCGATCGTAAGCCAATTAACAGCAACATAGTAGCATTTGTGTGCTGCGTACACGTGTTAAGACGATAGTGCAAAGAGTGCAACAACGCAAAATAAAATGAGAAAAAATATCCACGTGGGAATCGGAGAGGTGTTTCTTTATTTCTTTTCCGGGTCGACGATTATTTGCATCCCCTAATTGCCCTTCCTCCTCACGAATGTCGCCGCACAGTATCGGTTTTATCGTTCCTTTCTCCGCTGTCGTTTACATGAAGCAAAGGATAAGCGGATTTCTTGCCCGTCGTCGATTAGAATGCACCGGATAGGTTCGGTTTATTATTATTTTCCTATAATTTGTAAAGCAAGCGTAGAGGCTGCTGAAATAATTCATTATATTAATAATTCATTAGTCGCTGTGTATGCAACGGCAATCCTATTTGCAATATTTTCGTGAACAGCGACACGTCCTGAATGTATTAAGTATTTCATTAAAAATTCAAATAAGCGAGAGAAAAGAAAGAAACATGAAATGGCTAAAATCCTCTGAAAGAAACATGCACATCGTGATAAAATCTGCAGTAATATTAGTCTTATAGTTTTAGTAGCTATTATAGAGTAGATAAATGTTTGCTTTCTGTTATCGTATAGTAGTGTAAATATTTGCTGGAAGATTAATGTCAGGTTGATAGCTAAAGAAAAATCATTTTCAAAGTGCATTAGTGCATGCTAGAAAGATATTTTTCTCTTGCAATTCAGTCATTTATATATTGAAAGTTCTTATGAGTATTTTGTGCAATCAATGCAAGAATAGATAACAGAAAGATCAGTTATGCGTTATAATGGAATTGTGTTCAAACAATATGAGAATAATATTATAAATATAATTTTATAGAATTGTAGGCTTTTATATACCCATATATATAATTAAAATAGAGATTTTAAAAAAGTTTAAGTAAAAGAACTTTCACAAAATGTTGGCCGAGAAACAAGCATATATCGATTTTTCTTTTCAATTCTTGAACTTATATGTGTGAAACGCGTTGCACAAATCGATGGAAAATGCGGAAACAGGAATGTCTTGTGCTTTTCATCAAAACAAAGAATCGCCATACTTCGGCATGACACAACAATAATATCTTTTACATCGCCTACGCTTGAATATTGTCTCTCGCGTAATGGCCTACCGCGAGTTTATTGTGTTGGTTGGCTGAATGTTCTGAGGGAAAGTCGGAAAGGAATAGGAATAGGAATTTGGTATGCGCAACCATCAATTTATTTCTGGTCTCATTTAACAAAAGGAGGATTGAGGATGAATGTATGTGGCGGTAATTCGGCACCTATACCAGTAGCATATAGATAATTCATTGAATTAGAAGAAGGTCGGGTAATTAATTGTCTCACGGAGATTTGCAGGAAAATTACGAGCATATTACGATTTTGTCTTTCTACCGAATTCGGGTACAAATTCCATCTTCTGGAATTGTGCATGAAAATTAAATAAATGGAAAATGTGCACAAGTATATCGGTAATTAGAAAAAAAGAAAAAAAGATTCTTTCTGTTTTTTTTTTTTTTTTTATTCCTGTAATTACAATTGCAAAAATGTTAAAATTTTTTGCTAACTTTCTCGCGAAAATTTTAAAAGCTAAAAAGATATCAAGTGTAAACCTCTTGTCAAAAAATCTCTCTCTCTCTAAGAAATTGAATTTATTCAACATTTTTTTCAAATATTCTACGTTATTATTCATTCTTCACACGTACACATGTCCTAAACGCGCAGGGCTGAATGTGCGCGCGAGTATGGAAAAGTTTCCGACGTATATATATATACAGGGTGAGGCATTTATAGTGACGCGGGCGTATTTCTCGGAAACGAAGCGAGATATTAAAAAATGTTTCAGACAAAAGTTGTTTGGTTCGAAGGGGGACATAAGATGATGCCATTGATGTGACCTTGGATAGTCATTTGAAGGTCACTTTCATTTTCTTAAATGGAACTGCCTACTTTTTATTGCATATTCTTGTAGCTTATCTCGAGAGCTTTTCAAAACACTATAATAAAGTATTTTTTCATTAAGTACTTTTTCTAAAACTTTATATCGAGCATCTCAGTGCGCGATGGATTCCGTTCATGATAGTATACCGTTGCCCTCCATGAAAATAGAATCAAGTGCGAAATTTCGTATCCCTGCGAAAACGCCTTGTATCATGACGCATGACGGCACACGAATGCACACAGATAAAATATAATTTATTGAGGTAAAAAAATATCGTTTGTTATCTTCCTTTGAAAAATATGAATGATACATCACTGTTTCGTTATCTTAAATAAAAAAGAGCACAATTTAAAACATCGTTATATCGGGAAGACAAATATATGACATTGCGTTGGTATGGAAACAATATTAAAAAAGGAAGACTCTCTTGAACTCTCGCGAACAATCGAGTTTGAAAGAGTATCGATAAAAGATTCAATGATGCCAAATGCGCCGGTACAGCTTGATATCCGATCTAGCTCTCAATTTGGATCAAAGCTGTCACGTTCCTCTTTCGGTTTCCCATGCTCTGAATTCGAGTGCAAACTGGATAATACCGTAATCGATCCTGACCTATACCGTACCGTCTTATACGTTTTTCGGTGAATTTATACGCGTACAATGTTCCAAATTTGTCCGTAAGTAGTTCGTAGATTTGCTTCTTGTATCGCGATTCAAGATACTCTATCTCTTAAATCTCTAGATCCCTTATATCTATCATATAATAATATAATAATAACTCTAGCACAATGGAAACATAAAGTTGTATATATATTTTTTATTATAATCTGTAATTACACATTTTAAACTTTGTTCAATTATTGAAGTGACGCAAAATAATAGAAAGCAAGTATAATACACTATATTTTCCTGTTTGTATATATAGATATATGTGTACATATAATAAACGTCTCAACGTATGTTTTACATGTGCTTGAAAAAGAAAATAAAAACAGAAAAAGGGCATTTATGTCATGCGAGGAGGAACGAAATAAGCGTAATCTTCTGATCCACTGTTTTTATTTCCACCACCTTATTTCGCATCGGTGTTTCACGGTCGCGTCGGCGAGTTTCGCTAAAACTGTTAAAACCTTGCGGACTTAACGTGTGGCCGCAATAAGTTTCTTGGCTCTCGATAATGGATGACCTCACGGCAGTGTTGGTCTTTAATACGACGCGAAGGAACGCGCGAGGTGTGAGTGGAACGGCTCGATGAATAGGCCGGCGCGCCGTCGAGGCGCTTCTCCTTACGAGTAGCTTTCTCGTTAACGACCGCGATACGCGGTTGATTCCGGCGAGAAATGAGAGATCGGGGGATACCCACCGTCTTCCCTTCGCCTTTACGTACTTCGCACATTGCGTCACCCTGTTTCTGGTCCCTTTTACTGCCTTTGCCACCGAAATATTACGAAGATGTGGTGCTTTAAGAATATTACGGTGATGTAGCAAAAAAGGTACGTTTTTTTTTGCACATACATGTTTCTTTTATAAAATAATGAGACGACGAAACAAATCGCGTTATAAATTTTAGGGAATATCATGACATAAGTTGATTGATAGTCGATGTGTGACGCACACAGTGAATTCATTCTGAGATAATTTCGTCAAGATTTTTTCTGCATTTCGGATTACAGTTGCGTGCTTTGCGTCATATATGCATCTTTCAGTTTTATATGTGATATAATGATAACGAATGTGATACGTACGAATGTACTCTTAAACGCACTTACGATCTTAGTAAGATGAATACTTACTTGTCATGTTTACGACAAACTTAGTTATTGATAACAGTAGTAATCGTTCTTATTCCAAGGTTTAATTACACCCGTGAGGTTAATTTAGGTCATTCCGGAGCTTAACGAGTCGGTACCTTCATCCGATAAAAACTATCTCATTTTTCTAAAAATGGTACAAACCTCGCGTAAAACACCTAGTGCGAATCTCATTTGAAAAAGTTAAGAGTAATATAAAAAAATTTATTGTATATATATACATTTTTTATTATATTAAATTAATAGAATTATATTTAGAAGTTAAAAATTGAAAAAGATAGTATTTCGATAAACATACATTATTTTATATATAAAAATTGTATAACGGTATTAATAACAATATATCCGTAAAATAAAAATTCATCGTTTCTTAATTTTCCATGTAAATTTAATAAAAAAGGTTTATATATTAATAACACACATTTTTTGTTATATTAAATTAATA